GGAATATAGTTGGACGACCGCACCCAACGAGGTGGTGGATGACGATGGGTTCGCCAGTGGGTTGAATGGCGGGTGGATGAAAGCGCGACTGGTGTGCTATCGATCCACAGAAGGCGAAAGGGAACCACGTCGCGCTTCGGAAGGGACAGAGAGCACAATGCACTCTGCATCCCAATGGTGTGTGCTTCTAAACTTCAAATGGATTGTTCAATTGAATTAAAGAAAATATTAATGGTAAAGAAAATCTTGATGGTAAAGAATTGAATTAGAAGTTCAGAAATGAGGACGTACGATTTCAAGCATTTCAATAAAAGCTAGAAATGGACGTTCGATACGTACATAAATTAGTATATTCATAATGGATCGGTTTACAAATTATATATATATATATATATATATATATATATATATATATATTAGGTTGTCAAATATCTCCCTTCCGCTTTTTTACTCTTGGTTTATAATACAAAAAGGCAGAAGGGAGATATTTGACAATCTTATATATATATATATATATATATATATATATATATATTAATTTGGAAATATGAACAAACAACACTTTTTTTGCACTAATTTATTAAATAATAATTTTCACAAACGTCAGTGTATCGAGCGACTTGTAATGGATAACACAAAATGCTAATTTAGGTTTCCATATTTTAAATTTTAAATTATAACACACTGATGATGAGACAAACCTAATCTCAAAACGTTTGTGAAAATTATTATTTAATAAATTAGTGCAAAAAAAAGAGCGTTGTTTGTTCATATTTACAAATTAATATCTATTATCCACTCATATATATCGTATATATATATATATACGTATATATAAAGCGAGAGATTTTTCTTCAGATGGTGAAATATGATAAAATTGTTCTTGGGCATCCATAAGTAATTAAAAACAGTTTTATTGAAAGAAAATGATTTTATTAAGAAAACTTACGTTTCGGGTCTTGATTTGACCCATCTTCAGTGCATACAAATAAATTGAAAAAAAAAACAAAAACACACGAAAAAATTATGAAACACAAATTGATAAACGTCGAGTTATGATAAATTTTAAATAATTGTTACAAAATTGTATGATTTGACTTGTTACACAAACTCCAAGCGGACTGTGTGTTTTTGTGTTTTTTTTTCAATTTATTTGTATGCACTGAAGATGGATCAAATCAAGAACCGAAATGTATGTTTTCTTAATAAAAACATTTTCTTTCAATAAAACTGTAATTATATATATATATATATATATATATATATATGTGTGTTAAGAGTAGTTAAATTTTATGTTTTCTTGGAGGGCGTAACATCAAGTTAAAAGGACAATGTAAAGATTTTTAAAATATCTTTATTATTCCAAAACTTTCTAAGTAAAATTCTACGTAATCATCACTGGATACAAACTTTTTAATAATAATTATAATACCAAATAGCTAAAAATTTCAATGTGTATTATTTGCCAGTAGTCACTATTTTATAAAATATTTTTTAAAAAATGTACAGATCTGCAGTCGTCCGAGACCATTTTAGTTTAAGTGGAAAGAATTAGTTTTAAGTGTATTTTGCATTATCATTATGTGTGAATTATCTTCTAAAAAATTCGTATCCACAGATGATGGACGTAAAATTTTACGTCGAAACGTATGGAATAATAAAGATGTTTTAAAAATCTTTACAAAATCTTTTTTTCTTGTTAACGCCCTTAAAAAATTTAATAATACGTACAGAAAAATTAATATAAGCAAAAAATCTAATAATTGTTAAAGTTATACAAAACGAATTATACTGCACTTTAATATAAATCAATATTTTTCTTAAAAATATTATGCGTTCTGAGACTTTGGATAAAGTATAAAGTGAGATAAAAATTCTGATAATCAAGCATCTGTTCGAAATTAATTAAATAATTCAAAAATTATGAAATGAGAAAAATTTTAAAACAAAAAAAAATATTTTAAAAAATATCTATCAATACTGAGGAAAAAAAATGAAAACAAAAGAAAATATTTTAAAAAAATATCTATCAATGCTGACAATGAGAAAAAAAAATAGGATTTTCTTTATATAAGAAAATCCGATTGAGAAACAAAATTGCAGTATTCCACCCTCGTTTCCAGACTTTTCTGAGATAACCAGTAAGTACATCGACCTCTTCAATCATCTCACTAGGATAAAGGATGGACAAATGAAAGCACAATGAAGAATAACTGACCATGTCATGACTGTCTTATGAAATTCGCAAGCGTAAGATTGATGATGATCTACATACTTTCATATTTTAAGTAAAATTAAGAAAAAAATCAACAAATTTCAATACGGGAAAAGACAATAATATTAAATAAAATTAAATTATTAATAAACCTTCACCGTAATGTCCTTAGCTGTGTTGCTCAAATTTTATAGTGTGGTGAAAATATGTATCACCAAAAACGGATCACATTTTTATTGGAATTCTTTTTTGAAAAATATTTTCTTGAAAATTAAATTCATAATGATTTTTAATTTAGTCACAGTTGAAGAAACTAAAGTTCATACTTAGTGTTTGAACATAACAATAAATATGATATAAAAAATATTTACCAAATTCAAACTATGGATTTCAATGATCGCAACTCTGCCGACTTGTCGATATAAAATAAAGAATAATAAAGAAAAATAAAACATATGATTATATAAATAAATATAATACTATATATACATATATATTGCTTCATAATTCAAAAATTAATAATATTGAAAAGCGAGAAAATAATATATTAAAATCTTGAATCTTTAAATATACCAATTCAATTTAGTTTCAGAATAGATTGGCACTTGCTAAGACGATTAATATGACCTTGGATCATTTATATGTGGCGTGTTTTGCAGTGGGTAAACTATTCATGTATTTTTGTTAGTTGCCCTTTTTACTTATATACCACATTTGTGATCAGTTAATTTTATAATTAGCATTTTATACTAGAAATAAAATATGTGGCAAAATAACGTTTGCCGGGTCAACTAGTATATATAGATATATATTATAGAATTTTTTGTTCGACATTGAAACATTCTTGAAATGAATTTATGTTTAATATATTGAATGATGACACGCATTCAGTGTCAAAACGTACAGAATAAAAAGTTTAATCAATGTTTTTTATTTCGACTATTTGGCTGCAAATAAGCATATATATATATATTTTTATAATTATTAGGGTGGTCCTCAATATGTACATTTTCGAATTTTCTTGCTCACAGGGGCTCAAATGCTTCCAAATTGATAAAAAAAAAATCCTCTCAAGTTTTGGCTCTTAACATTGTCTTTTAGATGGTGCGCAATTCAATCAAAGTTTTGTATGGAAATAGCATAGGAAAATTTTCAAAAATTTTAAAAATGTTTAGATATAAATTAGCGAAAAAATGAATAAGTTTTATTCAAAATTCAACACTCTACGAAACAAGTTATAAAAAACCGAATTGCGCACCATCTAAAAGTTAATATAAAGAGCTAAAACTTTTAGGATTTTTTTTAATAAATTAATTTGGAATCATTTAAGCCCCTGGGAGCAATAAAATTCGAAAATGTCTATATTAAGGACCACCCTAATATATATATGTAATTTGCTGAAAGTAATACAAAAGTGCTAAAACTTATTCGCATTTATCCTACGCTCGCAGTAGTATAAATAATGTCTACACACACATATTCGGATTATAACATTCCGGTGCGCACATATTACATGAAAAGGCTTTTGAAGAATTCCTCGACCCACAATAAAAGAATACATGATGTGATTGCATACCGATATTAAATCCTAGTTTATTAGAGGCTTTGTGAAATCTATCATTAATCTTGGCCGAGCTAGGCATTTATATTTAAGCAAATATAATTGCACTTTTCAAAAATCCCTCGAATGAAATTGAAACAATTAAAATAAGCCACTACTGAGCGACGAGAAGAGTAAAAATGATTAAAACATAAATGCATATTAACAAACATATATTTTATTTAATTGACCTAAAAAAAATTGCTAACGTACTGTTTTGTTTTACAATGCTTCAACAATATTTAGTAGAACTAATGTTTATGGAAAATGCTGCATATCGAAAATAAAGAAACCGCCAAGAAAGTATGTCGTTAATAATCGAAGAAACAGAATGTAATAGCATAAATCATCTGCCACAAAAAATCATTTTCAAACAAAATTATATTACGGGATTGAATCCCTCAATACGGCCCTGATTCAAGTAATAAGTCAGGCAAAATATGAAGCATCTATTCAGGTACTCGAGGAATTTCAAGAATATACCTGGTTCACGAAATATTTAATAATCCTTTCGAAATTTTCAAAACTGTAGGACAATATGTAATAACTCTTGAATAAACCCTATGACTCATACTAGCATTTCTATAATAGGAAATCGATTCGAAATAAAGTTTTCATGGTGGTAATTAAAAACAAAACATTAATTGAAAATTCAACACAACGTATTTTACAAATCTTCAAATTTAACACTTATACATTAATATTCGCTTTTCTTGCAAACACAAAAGCAATTTAGAAGACCTAAATCAGTTTGAATTTTTAATGCAATCGAATTATTGAAACTTGTATAATGCACAATTTATCACTAAAAATTGCAATATCACAAAAATATATAAAACCATTATTAATTATATAAATGTTATAATTAAATGGGAATAAACGACAAAAATTGTCCGTTTTGTTTAACGAACAAGCTTAACAGCTGCTAGGGAAAATCTGACATATAAATTCATGGATTTCATATTGTCTATACTCAAAATTTATAATTATGGTCATGATTCAAAATGTTGGCCATAATAATGACTTATGAAATAAAGTATGTACCCGCATATGAATATGAAGCAGTCAATTCATAAATTAAGATACTGTCGTTTATGATTTATGTAATTAAACCTTATTTAGAATATGCCCAAAATAATGTTTAAACTATGTGTAAAGACATAAATATTATAAAACAGTACTTACCATGCTTTGACCCGTATTAAGACTTCCCCGGCGTTTACAGTAGGTTCTGGCTTCTTAAGAACCTTCAGTGTTTTGGAGCCAATAAAACCTGTCAAGACAACCGCTCTCATTTCTTTTGGTGGATCTTCTTTAACCTCAGTCGATTTCTCAGTGTTCTTGTCATTTTCATTTGTTTTTTCCACATTGTTCATGTCACCGGCAGCCTCTGTAGAATTATCGGACTGAGCTTCAGTTTCAGGGGTCGTTTTGTCTTCGGTTTGATTTACTGGGGCCACAGTAGTTTCAGGCATTTTTATATTGTATTAAAAAGCTTCACAAAATTATGAACTGTAATAATCACTACTACTAAACCTTGTTTTGTTTATAAATTTTGCCCCCAGCTCACTGCATGAACAATGATTCTGTACTGAAGAGTTTGTTGTAGTTGGTTCAAGCGCGATGCCGGCAGCTACAGGTGTATTCATGCGCAACGTCAACGCGCATTTATTTACTACGATCCGTAATGTAGTTCTTATTTAATTTATAAAATCATTAATAAAACTTATTATAGTGTATATAAAATTATTAAACTTATTAATTTTTGATGATTTATTTGAATTTTGTACTGTAATTTTATTTAAATATAGTTCTGTGGCGGAGTGATACAAGCATGTGTAGAACAGTACTGCCAACGTTAAGAAGAATTGTACTGACTGCTGTATTCAAATGTTCAAAAGCAGCAATATGCACATAAAATAGCTACTATTTCATGCTTTTTAAATAATCCAACCTTATTAGACTCATAAATAATAAACTCTAATTAGACAAATACACTCATATAACATATAAATTAATTGACAGTAATGAAGAAATATAAATCTCAAACTTCAATTCAAGAGCCAACTTATTGAAATTTTCCACTGTCTTGTTAATTTTAGTAGCAGTTAGTTATGATCAAAATATAATACAAATTGTTATAAAAAATCAAAATCATGCCGAAAAACTCTATGCATTCTTTTAAAAAACTTAAATTTTTCTCTTAAACATGACCGACCTAACTTTAAAACGAATGACACAGTTAAAAACCTAGACCTGCAGATAAAAGTAGAGTGGCCTAGACAATAAAGATATAAATAATAATTAATGGTTATAATTAAAATTTAAATTTATTTTTCACACATACATATTTTAGCAGAAATAGTTATCTATTACAGAGTCATCAGCTAAATATAATATAAAATTTAGCAACTTAATAATAATTTTCAGTAAAACAATTATAAATAATAAAATATATCACTGTTAATCATAATTGTCATACTTCATTGATAAAATCGATTATTAAAATTTAAATAAAATAGGTTAAAACTTGATTATCATAGTCATAAAATATAGTTTGTATAATATAGTACTTAAATATATTTTGTTTTTCAATATCCTTTTGATAAATCTCTCATATATTATGAATACATTTCATGATGTCATTTAATAATTTCTTAGTAAAATTTATACAATAAAATTAAGATACTTATGCAATAATCTACTACTAACATAGGATTTGAGAATTACGACTAAAATGAAAAATTGATCCATTATGAATATATATATATATATATATATATATATATATATATATATATATGTAAAAAATGCAAATACATAAAATTATATAAAACTTAATAGTAAAATTATGTAAAACGCATACATAAAATATTTAGGGTTTTTGTTAAAATATAACAAAAAATAAAATTATCAAATTAGGTGAGATTAAATAATAAAAATTATATACAGCATTTATCCTAGGCTACACCTTGAAATATTCCATCACAATAGTTTGAAGTACCACAATTAATATTTTTATTCATTTCACTTGTCTATCATTTATTAACCCTCGAAGCTTTTTCGAAGAAAATAAGCCTCCACTGGTTGTATTGTTTGATAAGGTTGGAATTCTGATAGCTGATGGATCGCCACCATTAGCTTCAATGATACCTTCTTGTAAATGTTCTACTGACCTTTTGAATCCACCTTTTGTAATAGATGTGTTGTTCATGGCTGCATTTATTTCGCGCAATGACTGTATAAATAAATAATATATAAATCTATCGATATACTAATGTTAATATAAAATTGATAAATGAACTATATATTTATGCAGCTTTTATTAATTCTTTCATTATTCCATACTTAATTAAACAATCTCACCTTAGCTGGACTTCTACTGAACTTATAAACATGACAGTTTCCACTTTTAGGAGGTACTCTTGAATCCAATGATGTTACATATAAAGCATGTTGATCACTAACCCTTCGTGGTGATAAGCAGGGAGATCTTCCCACAGGCAAAGGAGATAACGCAGGCACATTCTACAATAAAAATTTGTACATGAATTATATTGTATCTACTTTATTATATAAAAACTCTGCAAAAATTGAAAATGAACTCACTTGGTCATTCCTAGAAAATCGTAATGCAAATTCTTGAACTGTCACAACATATACTTGATTGTAAAACTTAATAAGATCACCACGATCTTCTATATCTGGCCTAGAAGGATTACCTGCACAGAATATAATTCAAAATTTAGTCTACTATTTTTTAATGACCATGATCTGCTAAAGCAGTTTTATGTACTTAAAATTGAATCGATAAAAAGTAATAAACATGAATTCTATTATACATTACCTGGATCTGTTCGTTTTGAAATCAAAACACTTCGGTAGACATTACTGTTTGATTGAGGTTGCAGACGATAGTTCTTCATGATTTCGGTGAATGATCTTCCTTGATCTTTGCTGCCACAAACCTATGTATATAAATTGAATTTAGTTGAATGAAAATAGTGCAAATAATTTATGTAAAAATGAAAACAAGTTGAAAAATATAATATTTCAATGTATCTGTATTTTTCAACATTCCAAGACAAACAAACTATTACAAATTAAATTAAACTGTTAATTAATGATAATAAGTTTACTGGAAATTAATGTGAATATGAAGATAAAATCTACATTATTATATCAAACGTGTCTAATGTTTGTGAACCATAGATTTGATAAATACATATATTATATAAAGTCTATGTTGTGTAATTATTACAAACACTATGAATGTAAAAACTTGAGCAATTCTGTTTATTATTGTCACTTGTCAAAATAATAATACAATTCAATTATGACATATAATAACGCAAATATAATAAACAAATATGAGAATATATTAAAACCATTGACGGATAAGCGCGAGTATCGTGGCATAGTATTAAAAAATGAGTTAAAAGTTTTACTCATAAGCGACAAAGAAGCAGAAAAATCAGCAGCTGCTCTAAATGTTCACGTAGGTCATATGAGCGATCCTGATGAATTTCCTGGATTAGCTCATTTTTGTGAGCATATGCTATTTCTAGGTACAAGTAAATATCCAGATGAAAATGGTTATAATAAATTTATTTCGGAGCATGGTGGTACAAATAATGCTTGGACAAGTACACATGAAACTGTCTATATATTTGAAATTGGAACAGATTATCTCAAAGAAGCCTTGGATAGATTTGCACAATTTTTCATAGCACCTTTATTTTCTCAAAGTGCCACAGAAAGGGAAGTAAACGCAGTAAATTCAGAACATCTTAAGAATGTCACAAATGATCACAGACGATTACATTTTGTGAAAAAAATCTTATGTAATCCTAGTCATCCTTATCGCAAATTCAGTACTGGAAATAAGCAGACATTGATAGAAAATCCAAAGAATAAAGGATTAGACGTGCAAAAAGCTTTGCAACAATTTCATAATCAATGGTATTCTTCAAATATAATGACATTGGCCATTATAGGCAAAGAATCGTTAGACGATCTAGAAATGCTTACATATGAAATCTTCAGTGATATTCAAAATAAAAATGTCACCGCGCCAGTGTGGAATGAAAACCCATACACGTCTAATGAAATGGGCACGGTTACCAAAATATTGCCCATAAAAAATATTCGTTCTTTAAATATTAGTTTTCCATTCCCGGATGTAAGAAATGATTACAAGGTCGGAGTAGATATTTATATAAAAAGTCTCATTGGACACGAAGGACCAAACAGTTTACTGTCTTATCTAAAATATAAGAGTTGGAGTTCTTTCTTATGTGCTAAAGTGGATCACGAATTTGGATTTGCATTCTTCAACATCACAATAGATTTAACTGAAGAAGGATTGTGTAATGTGGAAAAAATTGTATCATTACTTTTTCAGTATATAAAATTATTAAAATCGAAAGGTATTGAAGAATGGATTTATAGTGAATGTTCAAATATACAACAGTTGAGGTTCAGATATAAAGATAAAGAGACACCATTCAACAACGTATCCCACGTAGCGCATAATCTGCTCCTGTACCCATTTGAAGATGTTCTAATCGGTATGTTTAAAATGACGGATTACAACTTTAAACTAATAAGTGATACTTTAGCAGGATTTAACCCAGACACAGTTAGAATATATATAGTTGCCCAATTACTGGAAGAAGCATGTACAGATGTGGAACCCATATTTGGTGTTAAGTATCATCATGATAAAATATCTCGGGATTTGCTTGAAAAATGGAAGTCAGATGAAATCTCTTCTGATTTACGCATTCCTTTACCTAATGAATTCATAGTATCAAATCTGTCTTTGTTAGCTCTAGACAATGTTAAAGCTTATCCAGAAGTTGTGTTACGTACACATTACCTAAAAGTATGGTTTAAACAAGATTCGATATTTTTAATACCGAAACTAAATATTAAATTAAAAATAACATCACCATTCATATATATAGATCCATTAAATTATAATTTAGCATGCCTTTATTGCCGATTGTTCAAAGATTCACTTAATGAATGCACGTATGGAGCAAGTTTGGCAGGTTTAGATTGGCATATAACACTGATGAAAGATCATTTTACGATATGTGTTTATGGCTTTAGCCAACACTTAAAATGCCTATTATCAAAAATATTACAAACTTTAAATACCTTCTCAATTAATAAAGAAAGATTTGCAGTAATAAGAGAAAATTACATCAGAGAACTTGAAAATTTCAACATGGACCAGCCATATATTCAAACAGCTTATTATACTGATTTAATACTAAATGAAAAGTCATGGTCCAAGCAAGAGTTGTTACGGACTACTGACGATATTACGACTGAAAATTTAGAAAAATTCTTACCGCAGTTATGGTCGAAAACTCATGTCGAGGTACTAATTTATGGAAATTGCAACAATAGTGATGCGTTAAATGTTGCTAAAATAATAGATTCAACACTTGATTTGAAGAATCGGCAATATATTCATGAGGAACATTTTCAAAAATTTAGAGAGCATAAAATTGAAAATGGTAAACAATATGTGTTCAATGTAGAACATGCTTACAACAACAACAGTTCAACATCTGTTATTTATCAATGTGGAACTCAGTGCACGGATAATAATATGCTGTTGGAACTACTTGTACAAATTATTAGAAGGCGTTGCTTTAGTATCTTAAGAACACAAGAACAATTAGGTTATGTAGTAAAATGTTTAATTCGTCGTTCGAATGGAACGCAAGATCTGCGTATTTACGTACAATCCGAAAAAAATCCGAATTATTTAGATAGTCGCATTGAGAATTTCTTAGATGAAATGAAAGATTATATAAAATCTATGACAACAGAAGATTTTTCATTACACAAAGCTGCATTGACTGTTAAACGATTGGAAAAACCACAAACATTGCTAGAATGGACGAATAAATATTGGTCAGAAATCATAAATCAACAATGTAAATTCAATCGTGATGCTGTCGAGGTTACTTATTTAAAAAATATTACTAAAGAACAATTATTAACTTTCTACATAAAAACTATCGAAAAAGATAGAAGAAAACTTTCTATTCAAATAAAATCGATAGAAAGTTCAAATGATAATGATAATATTTCGAAACAATCATATAATATTATATCAGATATTAGAACATTTAAGAAAAGTAAAGAACTGTACGCATTAGTCAAATAAAAATCTTACCTACCATCTAATTATTGTATAAAAATTAAATTATTAAAACAAAAGCGTATCGATGTTTAGACATTTCACAATTAGCTTGTGATTTCATAAAAAAATCTGCTACAAATTTAAAATCGTCTACTAATATTGAGTTGACTAAGCTACATAAATCAAAATGTCGAAAATTTATGGTGACATTCAAAAATCAACAGATGACCAGCTAAAATACCGTGGTTTGATACTTAGCAATGAAATGAGAGTAATGCTGGTCAATGACAGCAAAGCACAGAAGGCCAGTGCCGCCATCAGCGTCAAAGTTGGCCACAACGATGATCCAGTATATTTATCTGGCCTTGCGTCGCTCTGTGGCCATATGATATTCATGGGCAGCAAAAAATATCCTGGACCAGACACATATGCAAATTACATGGTTCGAAATTGCGGTTTTACAGATATGATGACACAACCAAGTGAAACAAAGTTTATCCTCGAAACCGATCCTTCAAGCTTTGAGGAAGCGTTAGATATATTCGCTCATAGTTTTATAAGCCCACTGTTTGCAAGAGAAAAATTACAGACTATAATTGATAGCCTAGAATTAGAATATCAAAAGTTGGTATTGAGCGACACCTGGAGAGACGAGCACATTAATTCATTTCTATGCAATACTCAGCAAGAAAACATCAAAATTAGTTGTGGTAGTAAGTATACATTGCATGATTTACCCGTAAGTAAAGGTGTAGACGTTTATAAAGAACTACTGAATTTTCATAGAAAATACTATTCGTCTAACTTAATGAGCTTAGTATTATACGGATCAAAGCCTTTAGATGAACTTGAAATAATTGCTCAAGAATTGTTTGATTCGGTAGAAAATAAAAATATCATTTTGTCTCCAAATCCTGATTTTTCAAATATAAATATACCTTCTAGTAGTGTTACGTATGTTGCACCAATTCATGAAAGGAGTACATTAAGAATGTATTTTTCAATACCTAATTTGATTACATATTCTGAAACTTTCCCATATTTTTACTTAAGTTATTTATTAAAAAACGAAGGCAAGGCTAGCTTATTGTCATTTTTTAAATCACGCGGTTGGATGGCTTCTTTCGATATCAAAATTATACAAGAATATGGAAAATCTCATATGGTATTGCACATGGATTTATCTTCTGCTGGTCTTGAAAATACACAGATTATTATAAGCTCAATTTTTATTTATATTAAATTCTTAATAAATGAAGGTCCGCAAAAATGGATTTTTGACGAGTGCTGCAAGATCTTATACATCAATTATAGATTAAATGAAACACAACCCTCGACCTATTATATTCTTAATATTGCGTCAAATTTGTTATATTACCCAATTAATGAAGTCATAATTGCACCATTTCTCATTTCTGAATATAACTCTAATACATTGAATCTAGCACTTCAAGCATTAAAACCTGAAAATGCTCGAATATTTATAATAGATAGAAGATATAAAGAACAATGCGACAGCATAGAACCGATTGTTGGAATCGAATATCGCACCCAAAATCTGACTGAAGTACAAATTAAAAAATTAGAAGTATGTCCAATTTGCTTTGATTTCAAATTACCCGAACCTAATGAACTAATTCCCGAAGATCTTGATATATTACCCGCGCTTTACACAACACCATATCCTGTTTTAATATATGATAATGAAAAAATGCGAATGTGGTTTAAGCAAGATTCGGAGTATAAAAGCCCATGTGTGTTTATCAAAATCATGATTGCAATGCCAAGGGCTTATTTAGATCC